TCACGTAAATCTGTTGTCTTGTTTTTCGCGTTTATATTTTCTCGTATTATCTCAAATTCCGCACAACAGATACAAAAAGGAGGTCTCGGTTACTTTGATACATGCTCTCCGGTAACAAGGATAACATCTATTAGAATGTTAATAACTAGTGGCCTTGCATGATCTTGAAATTCATAAAATGGATGTTAACCCCAGAGTTTTGTGGTTTCTGGTAAAAAAGAAAGTATGTGAACTTGTTAAATCACTTTATGGACTAAATCAAGCACTCAAACAATGACATAAGAAATTTGACCAAACTATATTGACAAATGGATTTTATAATAATGGAAGTGATAAATGTTTTTACATTAAAATCACAAGGTCATTGTTTGTTTGTATATTGATAATATGTTTATCATCAGTAGAGACACTAATGACATAAATGCTACTAAACATATGCTAGAAAGCAACTTTGATATGAAAGATCTTGGAGTTGCTGATGCGATTTTAGGTATAAGAATCTTTAGATCTCCATAATGTTTAGCATTGTCACAATCTCAATGCATTGAAAAGGAACTTAACTAGTTCAAATATTTTAATTTTAATATTGTCAAGACTTTAATAAACACGAGCTTTGCATTTCAAAAGAGTGAAGGCGAAAGGGACTCACAATTGGATTCTAGAGTATTGGTAAGTATGATGTATATCATGAAGTGTACGCGATTAGATATAACATTTGCTATTTATAAACTGAGTTGAGTCGGTTCACGAGTGATCCCAGTTGAACTCATTGGATGACAATGAAAAGAGTTTTGGGGTATTTAAAACATACTCGAAACTATGTCTTGCATTATAACAAATATCTAGAAGTATTGAAAGGATATAATGATGCAAATTGGATCATCGGGATCAAATGAAGTAAAATCCACAAGTGGATATGTATTTATTCTTGGTGGAGGAGCAGTCTCTTAAAAATCTTCCAAAAAGACATGTATCACTAGCTCCACAATGATCTTTGAGCTAGGTGCTCTAGATGAGGCCGGTGAATATGTTGAAATACTCCAAAATTTCTTGATAGATATTCTTTTTTGGCTCAAAGCTTTGGCATCAGTATGCATACACTTTGATAGTCAAGATGCAATAGGTAGGGCATGGAACATGATGTCAACCAACTCAATTCATTCTCATAATGAAGATAATGCTCGGGAGCTAGGATACAACATTAAGGCTTGTTAATGAGTTAATAAAGCTTAAAGTTTTTAATGATTTGCTAAGTTTGACGGATTTGACCAAATAGTGTATTTACGTGATAACACGGTTAGAAATCACTTATGTGAGTGCGAAGTGTAAGTCGCTTCAAAGAGGATACTTGTCAATGGTAAGGGGTTGATTGTGTGAAATATGGTTGTCCAGGTATACACCAAAGATTGATGGTTCAAAGATATCAAATCTTCCGATTGACCGAGTATATTCGATATATGTTCACTACAGAAAGTTCAAAGGGAAACCTATTTTTCAGATACAATTAATTTTTTCTTGTAAAGTACACATACTTGTTCGTTTCTTTGTCTTGAATTCATTCCTCATTCATGCGGGGGATTTTGGATTTTAAAAGGTGTGAACTGAAAATGAAAAGTTGCGTATTTTATAAAGAGTTGTGACTTATATGAAAAGTTGCGACTTTTATGAAGAGTTGTGATTTTTATAAAAGGTTGTGACCTTTCCGAAAGATTGTGTCTTTTCCAAATGGTTGTGACATTTTTGGTAAGGCACAATAAGAACATTTTCACACTACCCTTTGTTTTCTATAAATTGAGAGATTTTCTCTCATTTAAAAAAAATTAATTTTCAGACTTCTGCTACTACTTAATCTAGTGTTTTAAGTGCACTTTAGTGACGTTTAGTGGTTTGCTGACACCGTGTTTTAAGGTTTCAATCATCTGTGAGTAAGATCGTTCTATCTTGGGAGGATATATTTCATTAACCTCAAATACTTGAGCGAAATAATTTCCTTCAGGGGACACTGTGCATTTAGTGGGCTCGATTTTCTTTTTTAAGAAAAATAATTTGCATATTGTTTCTAATCTGTTTCTAATTCTATTTTTTCTACTGGTTTTAATTTTCTAGTTTTGAAAATGTTCTTTAAACTTTGTTGTTTCTTATTAAGTTCTTCAAAGTTTTTGTTCCAAGTATTTTAGGAATATAAGATGAGCAACACTTTAGCTATCAGCCAAATAAAGCATAAAACTTTGTGTGGAATTCTACACTTCTATACTTGTTTTATTCGTGGTGCTGACTTTGATCCGTCAAGATGTCCCATAAGTTGATGGTCTTTGAATAGCATCACCAGTTGGGCTTTCCAAGTTGAGAAATTGAGCTTACCTTGCAATTTAATAGGTAACTAAGATGCGGGTTTAAATTGTACAACATGAATGACAGAGGAAGCGACAGAAGGACTGCTAGTGGAAGCAAGTGACAACTGAAGGGATTGTATCAACAGCAATAGATGGGGAAAAAAATCTGATTCGTGAGAGGTTTTGATGGCTCGGATACCATATAAATTCAGATAGACTAAAGTGGTCGAAAAGATTATCTTATTCATTCAGTACCCAACATTAAATACTACAAATAAGAACAACTTGCAACTAAACTTAACGAAATTAACTACAACCTTAACTCCTAAACAATAGGAGTCGTCTTCTATTGATACTCTAAAACAGTAACTCTTACATAACGAATAATTACAGTAACTAATGCTTAATAGGAGTCTCTTCATCCATTGGTGTTGCCAACTACAAAGGACTTTTGTCTCTCTACTTTTACCACATGACCTTTCTAATTAAGTTTGAAGTATCTGCAACTTTTCTCTAAGCTTCTCTTTCAACGTCTATCATGATTCTAAGAAGTTCCAGTGGTTGCAGGATCTAACAACCAGTGGGAGCATTTGGAGCTTCTTGACCTTTGAGCAAATATGAAGAGACCTCATAAGAAAGTGAAGCATCTCTTCCCTTGGATTTCATGAGTGTTATCTAACAACCCATATTGACATTTATAAATATTTCTTTTACTTTTTCATAGTTTTATCTTTTAACATATTATTTCTAAGTGTGACTTAGAATTTTGTATGATCCTATATAAGTCATAGTCCATGTATATTAGTAACTCTAATAGTCTAGAAAGTAGTTCTCGTGCATAGCCTAAAGCCAATTATGATCTTTAAAGATTAAAAGTAGTTTTTTTTTGTTTACCACTCGGTGTCTGGAGGCCGCATTATATCTTCGACTAAATCTAGATTGTGCATTGCCGGACTATTCAGGGTTGGCGCTCTCAATATGATTTTCTCTAGAGCCAAGGCTTGAACCCGAGACTTCTGATTAAGGGTGGAGCAAAAATGAAGTTGTAATTGTTTTAAGGAGATGTGATTATTTAATACATTGCATGTTAGTTACGTTATTGCAAAAGTAATTTATTCTATAGATGAAATTTGTCATATTTGTAGAATGGAACCTGAAACCTTAGAGCACATTTTTCATTTGTATGTCATGTAAAAGATGAGACCGACATTTAGGCCGAATTTGCATGGTATCTTATATTTTGTTGCTTGATGGAAAAAATAGTTTTGGAAGTTAGTTTTTATTTCTGATGTAACTGGCAGTACATATCTACTTTATGGATGATGTGAAAGGTAGAACAACAACAACATATCCCACAAGTGTGGATGTGAAAGGCTAATAATAAATATATTTTTAATTCAGTTCTATGCAGTGAAGGTGATGTAATATCCAAAGCCTTATTTGATTTGACGAATTTATAACTAGGTGAATAATGTTAAATGTTATTCAAGATGTTGTTGTTAATGTTAATTTACTATTTTTTTATCCAAAGTTGTGGTGCTTTGTGTTGGTACAGGTTTGGATAAAAAGGTTCACAAGAGAGTATTATAATGGTAGCCTTGAAGGCTAATGGTGGTAGTCCAATTCATTTTCTTGGATAATAACTTGAGTGTTGTCAATAACAAAAACAATTCAAATGGCTGCTAATTATGACTGCAAAAATATAAGTATTTTGTTATATTCGTCAACAATGATTCAAATTTGTCAGCTGAGACTAAGTTGAGGTGTTTTAGATGTGCACTCTCAAAGTTGGAGTGCGTACTTGTTAACTGAAGCCAAGTTTGAGTGCTTGTTTATATATTATGCCTTTGATTAATGCATATTATGTTTCTCAGTAGAAAAGGTGATTTTATTAATTGCTTTGAATAATTTATATACAATCTTGAGACATTTTTAAAAAAATTGTGGATCGTATTGAGTGTGCCACGATTTACAACATAGAGATTGTTGGAATCCTACTAATATTGATTCATGATATACAATGCGCCTGTACATGGACAAATAAAAGGAATAAAAAGGCTGCGTATCGGACAAATAAAAGAAATAAAAAGCTCGTGTTTTGAACAGTGCAACAATTCTCCTATTTAAGGGTTTTGATTGCCCTCACCCTGGTGTTTCCTCTGTTTCAGAAGGTATTAATTCTTTCTTCTCTGTTGTTTTCAATTTCTAGTACTGCATTTTTTCTTTGATTTTAGCTGCTATTAATCGTTAAAACTCATGAATTGCAAAAATGGGGGTATATCGAAAAATGCTAATAGCTGATTTGAGTGATGAGCTACTTTAAAAATGGAAGGATCATGGTTGCATTAACACCTTGATCTGCAACTTCTGTTGTTTCTGCTTTGATTGTTAGAATTACTAGACCCCATGACATGAATGTAGGCGATACAAGAGAGGCGCAACCCTAGTAATTGAATGGCCATGGTTACGTTACCTATCTAGGCAAAACATTACTTCATTAATTTTTACTCCCTTGTTCAAATCCCAGCGGAGACAAAACATCACCACCCCCTCTTTGTTAGCAGCTTCTGCATTCACAAGTTCAATTTGTTGTTTAATGTTGTGTGAATACGTTCCGTTTGCGCCTACCACACTAGACTATGTGGGTCTATTCTTGAAATAACAAAGGTAGTCGAAGGAAGCAGCAAAAGCGAGATTGACCATCAAGTTGCCTAGATAGGAGTTACATCATTTATTTTTGACATCTTAATATGCCTTGGTCCACCATTTCATCTATTGTTTTTATTGGTATTTTTCTTCTAAAGTTAAACTTCTAGTTGATATTTTCATGAGTTTCATATGCTATGTAGGATTTAAGAGTTGTTGGGGAAGCATACTTTGTATACGGAGGAGATGGAATCGGCGAATGTAGCATGTGATAAGTGCAAGAAGGACTGCCTGTTGATACATAGAAAGAGGGTTCCTTCTTTCTATAAAGCAATGACTGACAAAAGTTGCTTCCAAGTTCTGGTAAAGTGTGATTCTAGTGTGCACTTATTTTTGCGACTTTAATACTCGTTTTAAATTATATAGTTGGTTTTGATCACCATATGTGCAATTAGTTGTTCTTGTAGTCAATTGGCTACTTGTTGTTTTGCTTGACATTTTGAAGATTGTGCTTTAATTTAGTTTTTTTTTTACCCTCATCAATGTACTAAAAATTTGTGAAATATTCAAAGAACCTGTTACATTTCGGGATGTCAACTTTTGAGCATACCCTTCTTCTCCATAGAAAACCTTTCAAACACTCCTAAAAAAATATAGTTTCATATCACCATATTTAAAGCAGCCCCACACACAGAAGACTGTTATAGTATTAAAACTCATCGTTGTTTTTTCAGATCGTAAAATTAGATTATTACTTTAGTCCAAGAGTGTTAGTAGATTCCTGTGAACTCAGAAAGTCAAAGTTCAAGAATATCTCTTAGGATGTAAACTTGGAATGAGGAGATAATAAGCTCCAAAAATTTTAAACTTTGACGTAGTTACAAAACTTCCTGGTCTATTAAAACCATTTAACACCAGAAAAGAAGTTAACTTATTTTGATGAAAACATGGTCTTGCTTATGTTCAGAACTTCCTGACGAATTTCATTTGAGATAAGATTCAATTTGAACCTTTCCCATCTGAAATTAACTGATTAATAAAGTACAACTCGTAAGCGATAAATTTCACGTGAATGCTCTTCTGAATGTGAGACTGGTATTCACTTGATGTAAAATTTAAGACGATAATGAATCAGCCATCCAAACTTTGACGATCCAATTGAAGAACAACTTGATCAGGAAGCATGACAAATGTAATGATTTTGAGAGAAGATGCCCTACTAAGGAGGAATGGTCAAAGTGGTACTGTAAGTTTTCCACGTTAAAATTTTGAGACAAAGCAAAATATGTACAAACTCAAGGATCCTTAACATCACAAGTGTTCTCCTGAAATTTCTAGAGAGAAGACTTGAATGCACAAGGTCTAGGATCTTACCAATTAAAGGATGGATTGCTGAAGTAATAATAATGTGACCTTTCATAAAAGGGATGGGAGACAGATCATGCATGCTGCACTCATTGCTTATGAGTGTGTGGGTTCCATTTTGTATGGGGATGAACCTGGGGTCATTTGCAAATTAGACATTGAAAAGGCGTATGACCATGTAAACTGAAAGTTCTTGACGAATGTTCTCAACATATGGGTTTGGTTAGAGATGGTTGGGTTGGATTGCATTTTGCATCAGTGTGTTAGATTCTCTATCCTTGTGAATAGGAAACAAATGTTTTTTCCCCTTATGAGACAGGACTTTAGACAGTGATCTTCTTCCCACCCACCCCCTTCTGTTCATTTTTGCAATGGAAGGCTTTGACCACCTGATGAGGATAGCAATTCAAAACAGGCGGATCAAAGATTTCCAAATAGGTGGTTACATGAGATAAGTTAAGGATATTTCTCATCTGCTCTATGCAAAGGACCTGTTATTTTTTGTTAGAAACTAAGGTGGAGAAGATAAGATTCATCAGAATGATGTTGCTGATATTTTTGAAGCCACTTCTGGTTTGAAAGTTATCAAAGGGAAAAATTTGTTACCAATTAAGGAGGTGACCAATATTCAGATTCTGGCTAATATACTAGGTTGTAAAATGTAAAACATGCCCCCAGTCTATTTGGGCATATCACTTGGCAACAAACACAAGGACGCAATGGAGAAAAAAAGAAGGAGATTAGCAAGATCGAAGACTCTGTATTTGTCACCAGGTGGCAAACTTACTATTGTCAAACCAGTCTTAGATTCTACCCCGTGATGGAGTCTGCTGTATTTTTGGTGTAAACACCCCCTGGGGGCTGTAAATCCCACCTCATCAGTCTTTTGCTGATGAGCCTTTTGGTGTGAATATAAAGTGACCTTTATCAAAAAAAAAAAGAAAAGGAGGAGGAGGTTTTGACCTACTTAGTTCTTGAAAATATCAAAACAGATATCTTTGCAATAATGGTCTTAGGTCCTCCATTCAGTAGAGTAAATTATCTTGCATGACATAAAACATTTGTCCCGTTCAGATTCTCATGATTCCAAATCCTTAGAGATAAACACAACTATTTAAGAGGACGAAATAAATGCCACTAGTAACATAATTCAGACACCTAGAATTTTTCCATTTTGGGACCTCTATATAATCATCCTATAGCACTTTTGGCACCCAATGCTTTGCTCTTTAACAATTTACTCCCTACTTCTGCCCATTATAAAGGCAATCGGGAAAACCTTGCAGAATGCAAATGTATCCTAGGAATAGTGAGCTAGTCCAATCAATCATATATTGATTGGATACGTAAGTAAGCTTGATTACTTTTTCAGTTATGGTATAGATGGGTGTTTTGCTTTTTTGTCTGTCTGATCTTCCTTTCAACCATTTGCCATTCATGTATAAAACTCAAGAAATTTTCAACCACTTGATTTTCCTAATATAAGTTACCTTTTCAGGTATGTACCTATGCACTTAATAATGATCATAATATATGTTGGTCAATTTTTGCAGTAGAGACCACATGACCTGTTCAAGTTTTAGAACTCATGCCAAACACCTATGAGTTCTGAAACATCTTGCTTTCAAAAGATTGTCTGCTCTAAAAGAAGATCTTGGAAAAGATTTCTTCAATATTTCTCATGAGCTATTGCTTCTACCATATCTATGAAGTACCTCCTTAACTCCCCCAAGGAAAATCATATGTGTTATATTACTTTAAGATGACTCTGCTTGAAGGACTTAAAAGTCCACTTTCCAATTTTTAAAGAGCTTAATACAAAAATGAAATGATATATGCTCATAATTTTTAGAAAGAGAAAAACTGCATATGAGCAACTTTCGCATTTGGACCTACCATAGGTGTTTCCATGGACTTTCTTCTTCTCAGACAGTCCTTGCACTTTGCAGAGCAGTTAGTCAAACTTTCTCATTCACTCACTATATGATTTTGTATCTTCTTTTAGTTACTTGAAATCATGTAAATCTATTAAGGTCAACATTATTTCTGGATTTTATTCACAACTTACTTGAGTAACTGTCACATTTTTAGTGTGAAGATGATAAACATTTAATGAACTTTGAAGATTCTTAAAGGAAAATACTTGATAGTGCTATTGAGGCATTTGCATTTGTGAATCTTAATTTGTAGTCTCTAGCAATTTTCATGCTTTATTTTTATCAGTTACTTTAACCTTCCCTTTGCCATACCATGTATTTTATGCTTGTTCAAATGAAAGGGATGCATCGCTATCAAGTTTGCTGTGGCATTAGTAGTATAAATAACTAGTAAATGGGCTTGCGCTTCGCAGTTAGAACATTCTTCTTTAAATTTATTAGAAAAGAACTTTCTTATATTTTGATGTTATAGTATTTTTATATAAATCTGTTTTTAAGAGTATAAAGGTTGTTTAATTCTAGTTTACCATTTGTTTTATTAAAAGAAAAGGCAAAATTAAAAATCATAACACTATTTTCTCCTAGTTTACATAATTTCATTTTACCATGGTTACATAGTGTCTTTAATTAGAGACTCAAATAAATATTTTTCTCAATTTTCTTTGTACACAAACAAAATAATACTGAGGATCCTTTTCAAGGACCCTTGAAAAGGATGAAAGAGAAGTAAGGAATAATGGGGGAAAAGTTCAAAAAGTACTTCGGTGTGAGAGAATAGTCATCATTGTGTATCATATAATTATAATTAATTGCTAATTTTAATTCTATCATTTGACTTTCTATTTTTTTTTTACTCCTATTATTATTAACATTATTATGACAACAACAAAAAATCATATAAATTTTTAGGCTTGATCTCTTGGAGAAGAAAAGATTTCCTTGGAGAATGTTGTAAATAAATGTATTCTGTAAAAGTTATTGGTCAATCTGCGGTAGTTGGATTTACATATAGTTTGTACTAACAGATACTTATAACAATAACTTTAGAGAAACATAAACAACAAAGTTTAAAACATGTACTCAAAAATAACAATTAATATCACAAGCATAAATTAATGACAGTAAGAAAACATACCAAAATCTGTAACAATAGAATGAAACAGAAAGAAAAAATCGAGAATCGAGCCTACTGAATGTGCAATGTCTCCTTAAGATATCATTCTCCTAAAGTACTTGAGGTTCAAAGAAATAGATACTCTCAGGATGAAACAATTTTATTCATCAGTGTAATGATACAAAAACAATAGTGTCACTGAGCAGCTCAACAGAAACAAAGTATACAAATATTTAATTGTACAGAATAAGAAGAAGAAGAAGTTTAGAATCAAATATTTAATCATGCAAAAGAAGTAGTTCAATATTTTCGTTATTTTAAAATTTAAAATGAGAGGAAATCCCTCTATTTATAGACAAAGAAGGGCAGTATGAACAAATGCTTATTGTGCCTTACTGAAAAGGTCACAACTCTTTGGAAAAGTCACAACTCTTCGGAAAGGTCACAACCTTTCATAAATGTTACAATTTTTCTAAAATTAGAAATTCTTCATAAAAGTCATAACTTTTCATAAAAGTCATAACTTTTCAATAAAAGTGCAACTTTACATGAAAGTCAAAATTTTTCATAACACAACTTTTCATGAAAAGGAAAGGCTAACTTTGGAAACAAATAGTTAAAAGGAAATCCTTGCTTGTGGTGGCACCATGTAGGTGGGCCTAACGTTCTCTTTTATATATATATATATATATATATATATATATATATATATATGATATTATATGATATGATTGTACCATCCAGAACTCAAAAAAAATCCAAGGATATGGTCATAAACCTGTTTCTTTTATTTAGCATTTGGTATCGATATGTGGTATTTCTTAGTTTTTAATTTCTGCAATCTCGTTTCAGATTGTACCCCCAAACTTTGCTCGATCAGCTTCACACCTGGTCGATAAGGTAACGCTTGTAAAGGATGCAAGTGGATTGCGATGGCCGGTAACAGTGTGTGACTATCAGGGTCTATTGGCTATCCAACAGGGGTGGCCGGAATTTGCATCAAAGCATGATCTGGTTGTCGGAGACCACTTGGTTTTCCATTATACTCAGCGTCAGCACTTCACGGTTCAAATATTTGATATGAATGGTTATGAAAAGATCATTTTCTGCTGTGACACTGACAAGGGTGAAAAAAGAGCAGCGACTCGTGTGGAAGAAACTACCCGGGCTGGAGATGCTCAATTTGATCAAGACGGCAGGTTGTGCTTGCATCAGTCACGTTTTGAAATGCCAGCAAGCAAACCTCCTGCAGAAGGACTGTTGCCACTGCGTGAGGATGGAATCAAGGCAACTGGTATGGTTAGTAGACCAGCTGAGGATATTTTGTTGCTGGGTCCAAAAGATAAAAAATGCAAAAAAGCATCTCAATTTGGTAAGCTTTGTGTCCACAATAAATTGTTAGGATTTTTTTGTTTTTTGTTCTTTTGTCTTGAATATACATATTAGGGCTATGTAGTTGAGGCAGCGATGACTCAGCTGAAGCTTTGTTTTGCTGATGCTACCTGGCCTAAATTAGTCTCAGGTGTTCAGATTCTGTAAAGCTCAACCTTGGAGACTCGTGAATACAGTGAAGCCTTTTGTTCTTTTTGTTGATTGATTGTATACCAAATTGCATTACTTTCATTAGTGTCTGTGTTGGAGGACCTTAAATTTTGTTCTTCAAACATCAGCTTCAAAAACTATTTTCCTCTCTCTTCCCAGTACTCATCAGTATAGCCCTTCTTCGGTTTTAATCTCTTTGTCCTATCCATTTAATTTCTCATATTTTTCTCAGTCTCTATGATTTTCTCAAGTTCTCTCTGGTGAAATTGTCATTCTACCTTCCATATTTGACTCAAAGATTCGGGTTCCACACTACGTTCAGCAGTATCTATTTCATAATTAATTGCTTCCGTCAAAGCAACTGGGGGTATTTTGTGATTCTAATTATTGAAGTTGTAAATTGTTTTCTTGATCATTGGGGAAATGATTAAGAATATTGTGTACAATATCCTTGATGATGTCATAGCAATCTGGAATTCCTCAAGAAACTTGCCTTACACGCGGAGCTCTTATACGTTGACATCCCATTTCATTGTATGTTTCTCATTACTTGGTAGTCTCCATGATCTTGTTTGAGACATAAGCTGTTTCCACCTACCAGAGTCTCACACTGTCAAGTCTGCCAAGTTTTCTTTCTTTTCAGTTTTGCTGTTTTGACCTCTTTTTGGTGACGTTCCTGCTGCATAGCTCCTCTTCCTAATGACTGTTTCAGTAGCATCAGTTTTTCTTTTGTTATTATTCAAGAGGTGCTGTATTTCTTTTCGATAATTTTTCTAACAGCACCTTACTACTTTTTAGTCCATTCCAGTCGGCTCCACGTCTATTCAGTCTATTCTTGTAAGAACTTTTACTGTCATTAGTCCAACAACATTTTTGGTTACCCTTCAACTGTCAATTAAATCTGAAGTCGATGATGTTCCGTAGATTTTCTTCCCAGAACCTCTTTTCGGTGTAAGAGGCACTTGTTTTTTGCCATGCAATCACGGATGATTTTCATGGGGAAAGACTTTCCTTGAACCACTCCTTTCTTTTGCCGGTTTTGTTGGCTATTCTAATGACTTTTGAGCTATGTTGCTCAAAATACTGTCGTCTGCATGCTGGATCCTCCAAAAATACTGCATTTTATAAGGATTCGACCCAGGTACGGTAACATTTTAGGAGAATCGAAGAAACTTAGCTTTTGAGTGTATCTTGTTTTCAAACTAAGCTGTAATCAAACCCATTTTGAGTTTGGGTGGTGGTGTTGAAAGTCAAAAGAATCATGAGAATATTGTGTAGAATATTCTTAACGATTATGTCCCAAGATTTGAATCTCAACAATTATGAAACTTCTCTTATTTTGTGTAATTCAAATTTGTAGAGGTCTTTTAAATGTTGTTAACGACCATCTGTAGATCTTCTCCAATTTCAAATTATCATTAAAATTTGTCTGAGTACTGGATTTCTTTTTTATTTTGGAAATATCAAGACTGACTTACTATTCTTTTTGAAAAACTTTTATTTTACTACTCAAGAGTTCCCAATATATGAGCTAACTTGTAATTTTATTCCTACTTTATTGATTGTTCTAATACTAATCATGTCCTCCGTATTGGACATTGGCCTTTGAATGGCCCCTACTCCTGCCATCTGCGGCTTCACCTCTCCCCCTCACCAGCTTACATCCACCTTCCTTCAGCCCTTTGTGACCATCTTGTTGCACATCCAAAATAGAAGCAAAACCTTTTCTCTATATAGAATTCAATCACATATCCAAAGTGCATCTGTGTCACCCTTTTTGGCATGGATTGTAGGAGAAGATGATATAGGTAAAAAGTGGGAGTCTTTAAGCTAAGGTATGATTGTGTTGATACTAAGGTGGTTTCTAAAGGTTTCAATATCTCTTGTTATTATTCTCTTTTGGAGAAGAAAGGGGTGTTTTCTTCATTAGCAGTCACTGAGGCTTTGCATGAGCTTAGAATCAATTCAATACTGGTTCTGATGCGGTAGGATTAAGTTTAGACCAATACCAAGAGGAAGCAATAGCTACTGGGTATAAAAGAGAATCACAATTTTAGTCATTCATTTGGAAGATAGATGTAACTTACTCCCCTCTAAACAAGCATGCTCTCCTTTCCTTGCTGGGTTGCTTAAATTGCAAAGTAGGACATAAGAGTTTTTGACATGAAATCGCTGGTCTTAATTTAGGCCTGATCAAACTTTACTAGCTTGAGCTTGACTTGATCGGCTAGTAGACATCCTTATCTTGTAAACTTATTTAATGTGGCCATTTGTATGTTGGTGTTGTGCTTTGAACTGCCTTTGAGCGTCTTCTTGCTGTTTTTTTCCTTGTGTACAAGATTCAGGAGAGGAGGAAGCAAATGGTAATGGAAAAGTCAACAAAAGTGAGTCTGCTGGTTTAGGAGACACACCATCCTTTCCTGCAAACAACTATTCATCTTTGGTGGAAATCTATGGTCCAGATTTTCTGGTAACACCTTGTTTAAATATCATTCCTTCTGTCATTTTTGTGGATCGCAATGTTCTTACTATTTCATGCGTTCTTTATAGAATGGGGGAACTTGAAAGAAAAACAAGAATATAATGAGGAATACAAAAATTCGACGATTAAAGACTAGAAAAATAAGATAGGCGAAATTCAAGAAATAAATCCCCAAATCTCAAAAGTGATTATATAAGAACCCTAATTGATTGTATCCTGCTGTTAATGCAGAACAACTTCAGGATTTTACTAACTCATTAGTTCTGGCTTAGATAGTTTGTATAGTTAGCCAGAGATCTCTTTTGTAAGCTCAAATGCCATATCTTGTAAATCTTGCATCTTCTTGATGTTGTTATTAATACCACTTATCTTGTCAAAAAAATGATTGTAGTAGACCTAATTAGCAGATTACGGCTAATCATATTTAATTGCAGAGTCAAATGAAGAACTTGGATGAATCTGATCTAGAACCCTAACTGAATTATTACAACATGTCAAGTGTAATCTCACACGTGGGGTTTGGGAGGGGAAGATGTATGCAGACCTCACTCCCTAGCTTTGTAGGGTAAAGAGGTTGTTTCCGATAGCCTCAACTTAAAAGAAATGTTATTGAAACTGGATTGCAAGAACAATAATAACAAAAACATACGGAGTGTAATCCCACAAGTGGGGTCAGGGAAGGATAGTGTGTATGACACGTTACCCCTACATTATGAAGGTAAAAGGATTGCAAGAATATTATGATAACAAAATAGAAAGATATAAAGCAAATGAGGCAACAATAGTACTAAAAAGAGACTACACGACTACTAAATAACCCTACCTCTTCCACATAAAATATGAACCTTCTACCCCAATCATCAATCTTTGTAACCACTTCTCACCAACCTCTCACACCTCTTTACTAGAGCATCTGTGCATTATAAGATAAATCTCAAGTGGTGAAAAGAAAAGAATCTGGATAATACTAGTGTGTCAAATAAACAAAAAGGACTCCCCTATATATTGGGGCAAATCGTGCACCCCTCTCCTAGACATAATGGTATTCAAAATCAACTTGTATGGAAAATAATTAGTAAAATCTAACTAGGAAACTTTAAACTAGAAAAATATGTAAATTAAAGTCACACTTCTTCCAAAACTACCTAACAAAATAAGGAAAGAAGTGGCAATTCTTGGATCAAAAAATACATGTCATTCCAGCTCCGTTGGGTGTGAATTTCTAGTCCCTTTGGGCATGTAATTCACCCCCACTTGGGCTTGCTTTTCAGCTCTTTTCAGGCTCCCTGTTGACCCCAATATTCTCCTCTCAAGCTTGGACTTGGACCATGAAATACGTGTAGTGCTTAGCGCACTCTTATCACAATTCTTGGGTTCTGGCGCTCTGCTTCCACTATGAGCATCTTCTTGATTTTATATTGAAGTCCAGCAAACATTGTCTTGCATCTCCTTCACTTACAATATCATTTAGTCCCTTAATGGAGGAATGCCACTATGATTGCTATCTGTTTTCTATGAATATTTATCAATACTGGCATGTATACTGCTTGAGTTTATATGAGTCTTGACTTTACCTCTGAAGATGCATGCATTTTAACATTCTTTTCATCAAAATTTTGTGTTAAATAAGATGTTATAGAGGGAATAATGTATTTCTGAGGACATCTTTGGGCTTAAACACTAAAAGATGTTACTGAAAATTCATGAGATTGAAGTGAAGTACTGATTAGGATGCTGAAAAGAAACATACATGCACAATAAAAATGCTGATGGCAAGCTCATACACCAGATTTTCGTAAAAACTTGTCATCTTTTGAGGCTCTAATTAGTTTAAAATAAGCATCTCGAAATCACATTGGACACAATAACTTAAATCAAATGTTTTACTATCTTTCGAGTTTAGCGCCTGTGAGACCCGACATGCCAATGATGGCACTGTTTCTTTAAATCGTAAATTAACGAGTATGTCTTCTTGTTGCGGATGTATTTTTTCAAAATAGATGAATCAATTGGTTAGACATTCTGTTAAGTTTCTCCATGCAAATATGAGATTGTTCCATTGGTGATTTCATGCATATTGCTTAGTTTTTGGAGAATTTAGTCTGCTCTATGTTGCAATTAATTGCTTCTACTTGGTTGAGATTCTCTTTGTTTTCCAATTTGTGTATCCCTTTTTTCTCTCGTTGAATCTAGATCTCCTTTATGCCTTGTGCAGGAACTACCAGGATCCTGGCGAGATTTGTTGCAAAGGCCAACGCGAGAAAGGTGGATTATTTTTCTCAGAGGACCAGACAAAAGAATCTGGCCTACCTATTATACTAGTCTCTTGCCTCCCTATTATTCTAGAAGGCCAAGTGTTGATGTTTTGAGTCGTGGATGGAAGGAAGTTGCTGCAGCTTATGGCATGAATGCCAAAGATCATTGTCTTTTTGAACTTGCAGATAAGCAGAACCGTATATTTGATATACGCAAAATCTGAAAGTGCTGAAGTAAGATTCCAAATGAACTACTTGGAGTCAATTACCTTAAGGGAAATGATGTCAGTTTTGAACAACATTCAAGTGTTGCTTTGTTGGGTCATATATTTTGTACTGTCATTTTGAAGTTGTGCTCAGTATTTTTAGACTAATTCCTTCATAATCTGGTTGTTACATGTCTGTTTAACTTTGTTTTCTGAGATCCAATTGCTAAGAACCATGAATTGCTCGTCAGGATTTGTGTTTTTTCTCTTTTGTAACTCTTTTATTTATATCATATTTAGTGAAATAACATAAACAATAAGAAAAGGCATCATTATATTTATATTGAAATACCACAGTTCAAAAATGCACAAGCGCCCTTGAAAGGTCCTTCTATAACACCTTCCCTATCACGGTGGCTTGTGCATCTACTGTCACTACATGAAAAGAAAAGAAAAAAAAAACTACTCCAACCCAAACGAACTAGCATCGATCAACGTCGAAAATATCAAACTACTTCAATACTCTGATCTGCAGTAGCTGACACCTGATTTTGCTCTTTCACCACCATTTTTTTCATTCTCATCAACCACTTCACCCAACTCACCATGTTGTCATACAAACTTAGAGCAATATACACCCCAATTCCACCAATAATACCATTGGCAATTGAGTATGTCAAAGGCATTAACACCATAGTCACAAATGCAGGTACTGCATGCTTAATATTATTCCAATCAATATCCTTCACAACTTTCATCATCAACACCCCAACTATAACCAAAGATGGACCTATAGCCCATGGTGGCACACTAGCAATCAAAGGTGTGAAGAACAAAGACAATAGGAAATAAAACCCAACGACAATCGCGGTTATTCCTGTCCTTCCACCTTCTCTGATCCCAGCTGATGATTCTACAAATGTAGCTACAGGTGAAACTCCTAGAGTTGATGCAACTATTGTGGATCCTGCATCAACCATATACGCGGTATATTCGCCTTCAAATTCTCCGTCTTCATTCACAAATCCCCCAATTTCAGCCATGGTATACAATGTACCTGTTGAAGCTAACACGTCTATGTATAACAATGTTACTAAAGCTATCCACACTTCACCACTGTTGAAATGCGTAAAATCTAGAGCTCCAGCTGTAGATTCAATTTTGTGAAAATCCACCACTTTTTTGAAATACTCATAGCTTGAATTACCAGATGGAGTATTAGGAAAAACCGTAACAGCAGTATTCCTAATCCATGAAATTAACGTCACAAAGAGGATACCGTATATCATACTCCCTTTAATCTCCTTCATTAATCCATAACACATTATTATAAACCCAACTGAACCTAACCAGAAAGTTGCACTTTGCATTTTCCCGCCGGTGCATTCTCCGGTCACCGGATTTGTACTGGTGCACGCAGAAAGAGTGATCAAGGTAGATGGATCTGGGCCAACTAAGCCCACACCTTGATGGGCTTGTAAGCCCACAAATGCAATAAAAAGCCCAATACCAGCCGCACAAGCTAACCTAACGGGCTGAGGAATAAACCGGGCTATCCTCCCACGAAGCCCAAATACAGCTATTGCTAAAAACGCACAGCCTTCAACTAAAAAAATTGCCATAACAGTCTGATAAGACATTTTTCCAGACCCGTGAAAGCCCACTAAATTATAAGCTAAATAAGCATTTGGGCCCATACCTGGAGCTAAGCCCAAAGGAAGATTCGCCAATAAGCCCATAGCAAATGACCCAATCATAGAAGCTAAAGCCGTAGCCACAATAACATCACTTTTCATTTTCGCAACACACTTTTCGTAACCTTCGTTATTCAGCACGCAATCTGGAGTTGCATGCGTTTGGTTCGCCGGAAAAGTGCAGTCGGAGACGGAGCAAGTTCCACCGGAATCCGATAAAACGCTGGCGTTGACGGTTATTATATAAGCCATCGTAAGAAACGTAGCAGTTCCAGCACGAAACTCTTTAGTGAATGAGCTTTTTCGAGATTCCAATTTGAAGTATTTGCCGATTCTGCTCTTCGAAATTGCTTCATTTACTTTCATCTCCATTTTAGTGAAAGAACCAGCTGCACAGAGCTTTTCCTTCATGTTTTTTAGTTTCACTTTTTCTCTGTTTTTGTTGCTTTGAAAGTAAATAGGGGATTGGAATATATTTATAAGATGATGAGAAAACTGAAAAGAGGAAAAAATATTTAATGCAATGTGGAATTGTAGTAATATGAAGAATGAATCAGTGTGGGTCTTTTATAGTACTTAATAATATGATTATTATTATTTAAAAAATTTACTTTAATAATATAGTACTCCCTCCGTCCGGATTGTTTGTCATGTTACGCTTTTCGAAAGTCGATTTGATTAATTTTTAAAGTTAAAATAGATCATATTAATTTGATATTTTAGATTAAAAAAAAAATTAGATATTCTAAAACTATATGAAAAATATTATAATTGCAATTTTTTGCATATTAATATGATAAAAAAATTACATTTTAAAATATTAGTCAACATTTTTATAGTTTGACTCTAAAAATAGAAACCATGACAAATAATTTTGAACGGAGGGAGTATCATAAAATTACACTATAATATAAGTATGAGCAGGAGGCATGTGCATATTTGTTCGATGGTATACAAGATTAATTGATTATTTATGTACATCTATAACTGTGGAACATAGATATTTAATTAGATCAATTTAAATAATATAGTTATAAATTATCTCATTATAAAAAGGAAAAAGAATTAGATATATTTTTCTAACTTTATTACTTTTAGAGTTGATATATCTCTATTTTAAAAGTGACGGATATATATCCTTAGTATTACATAAATGACTTGCACCATTTTCTCTAACTCAAGTGAAAAAAAAATATCAACTTATTTTTTATTAAAAATAGTTCATGTGGGGTGTATTCTTGTAAAGGAAAATTACACATTTAAGCAAATATATACTAGTTATTTAGTCATCACATTTATAATTTTAGTTAATTAGCAATCGCAGTTAAGTGATAATTGTGTAGACTGAAATTTCAAGTTTGTATAATTTATACATTTGTATAATTTGAAATTTGAATAATTTTTTTACAATATAATTTGTATAACTATTTAAAGTTTAGATTTTAATTTTTTGTGTAAATTAGTTATTTCGAATTTACTCAAAAATAACTTAATTATACAAACATGCCCGCAAACTATGCAAACTCACCTGTGAATTATACAAACGAGACAACTTAAACTGAAGTTACAACTCATAAATTTACAAACTATAAGACTTCTTTTATTCAGCAACTAATTTAAATTTATTATTTTAATGGTCAAATTCATACTTTTCACTTATTTTCTTACAAATTTTATTATAGATGTTAATAGCACAAAAAGGATAGTTTTAAAAAATTAATTCACATTTTTTTTATTTCTCTTATTTTACACTAAAAAATAATAGAAAAATGAATAAGAATAAGAAACTTAAAAAAAATTATGTGAAAATTAAATATATGATTCTATTTTATATATTAAAAATTTTAAAAAAAACGAATTTAACAATTAATTTTGTCACTTTTGTAAAGGTGGGATATATATAAGACACTTTTGTAATAGTAAGAGATATATGTGAGTCAATTTTATAACGATATAACATATATGAGCAAATTTTATAACGAGAGTATATCAAACTTCTTTTTCGTAAAAATTAACAATTTGAAATGCGAATTTTTGTTTTCTTTAATTCTTGAAATTCCAATTATATTATATTTAATTGAGAGAGAGTAATTGGTGTGGTCATTATATATTATATAACAAAAAAGTAATAAAAACTCATGCCTTTTAAGGAAACTGGGTTGTTTTTAGTGGGTTAGTATGATTATTATGTACTAACCCCCACCCCACCAGACACACGCATCAATTTTTTTATTCAACGCATATACATCGACAGAGGTGAATGTAGTGTTAGGGACGTGAGTTATCGAATTTATCTGAATTTATTATTTTTTAGATAAAGTTATGAAGCTTATATTAATATATTATATTTAATTATTCTCGTTTAAAAAGTATAACCTAGTTTGATTTAAAATGGAGTTTAAGAAAAAAAATTATTTAATCTTGTGGTTCTAAATAAAAGTTATGTCAAATGTATCAAAATGCATTTTAATCTTGTGGTCTTAAACATGTCACGTGGAAATTTATAGTTAAAGTGTTGAGGTCAGTTTTTTTAAACAGACTAAAAAGGAAATAGGGACATTCTTTCTGAAACGGAGGGAGTAAAATTTAAGAGATATAATAAATTTTGTATTCATAATTTTTAAAAATACAGTGGATTCAACAATAAGCATTTTAAATGTTCAACTCGTAAAAATTAAATACGAAGTCTCAATAATATGAAAATGCAAGGGAAGTTACAATATCAAATTGTAATCTTGTTGACTTGACTGTTGTCTTGGTAGTTTATACTGTATAAATTATACAAGATTCTTATGGAGAAATTGCTAGTAATTATAGAATCTGACACAATATGAGTTCAAATCCAAGAAAGATCTTTGACTAGCTAGTTAGTGAATTATCACAATTATAATTTTACATAATGAGAAAGTATAATATATAAGTCTTTAAAAAACATTAAGCTTTCTATTACTAAAAAAAATTGTAATTTTTATTTCATCGTGTTGTACAAGTCTTGTGTGAACAGAAGATAATTAATTATATGATGAGATAATCGTGTATGCATATATATGTTGTATACCTTAAAAGGCTGAATATATATATTTGATTCAATTACACAAGGTTAATCATTTGTAATATTTGGGATGGAAGTATTTAGATTTTCATATACTTTTAATAACAACTTTCGAGTTGAAAGTCTTTCGAAAATAACATTTCTATCTTCACAAGATAAGTGTAAGATTTGCGTAAATATCATTATTTTCAAACTCTGCTAGAGGTGCTTAACTGAATATATTATTGTTATTATGGGAAAAATGAACAAGTACTCCCTCAACCTATGCCTGAAATCTCAAAAACACTTATACTATACTAAGGTCTTATTACCTCCTGAATTTATTTTATAAGTAATTTTCCATCCCTTTTCGGCCAACGTGGCACTATCTTGAAAAAAAAGTCAATCAACATTGGGCCTATAAGATAGTATCACGTAGGTCGAAAAGGATAGAAAATTATTAATAAAATAAATTCGAGGGTAATAAGATCTTAATATAGTATAAGTATGTCTCTGAGATTTTGAACATAGATTGAGAAGGTAATTGTGCATTATCCTTTATTATAATTATTGTTGTTGAGCACTAATTAGATTGAACAATATTGTATACTTTATTTTATTTTTGGAAAAGAATATTGATGAGATCATAGTTAGGCAAATGATGAGTTTGGTATCACATCATGAACTAATAGACTTTTATTGAGGCCAAAAAGGACAGACAAAAATGTCAAAATATATACAATGAACCAACTCATTATGAATTTATGAGATTCATATTTGTCCACCAAACATGGTGTATGGCCTTTTGTTTCTAAGCCAATATGTTTATGTCCCAAAAGATTTTTAATTCATGAGTACATTACATCAATCTTCATTCAAAGATTTCATTCCCTTCTAAATATTTATGGGAAATCTTTTTACAATCTTTGAACAATCTAAAATAATATCCACACATAAATCATAATACTCAATAATGAGAGTAGGTAGAAAGCATAAACTTCTTTTAATTTCTTTAAAATGGTTAAAAAATGAAATACTTTCAACATTTAAAAAAAATAGTTTTATATACTAAAAATATTTGGAATATCAAATTGTTTATAAGGTAATTACAAATAATAACTTTTATGATAAGGGTAATTAATAGACTTGTTATAGAAGTTCACTTTTTTTGGTACACTTAAGAATGTTGAATAGATAAAATAAAAATAATTTAATTTTATACTTTTGACTTAACTCTTTCAGGAACAAAAGTTTCATATTTTTAATTGCATTGTCCTTAAATCAGTTGTTCTTCTTGCTTCCATAATATATAATATTGTATTATACCGTATGGTAGATACAATAGTTGGTTAGACTGTATTGTTTATTGTTGTTTAATGGATTACTATTTTTATAATTTGGTTGATTATATTGTAATTTATAAATTTACCAAAATATCCTTAATTATTCTAGGGTAGGAGGTTTGACTATAATTAAATTATATAAGGTAAAGGGTAAAAATTATTATGAAATATTAGGTTAGGATATAAATGAAAAAATAAATTAAGTAACCATGGAAATACACCAAATCAGTTGTTCCATAAAATGAGGATTTTCATTGTTACCTAACAACGTAATTTAACAATATAATACATTTTAAGTAACAATTAAAATAAGCATTATAGATATGATAACGAAACGATATAATACAATACAATAAGTGACAATGATCCAAACAGATTGTTAATGTTTATATTATATTAGTTCAGTGGTAATATAAATAATAGTATTTGTAAAATCGAAATATATAACCTAAATATATTTTTAAAAAGATAAGGGGGAGCTTCCTAGTTTTTGATTTTCTTATCTGATATGCATTCTATTGTCTTGAAAATCATGTCTTTTTTTTTGGGAGATATAATTTTATGCATAAATTTTTTTATCTTATCTTATCATATATTACTTTATTTATTATTACAAAATATCGGAATAAAATCAGAAAATTATGTGAGGTTGAATACTACCCTTCCTCAGAAGGAAAAGAAAACGACTTTTCATATAATTTGTCTCTATTATATACTTATTAATTAAGGACCTTCTTATAAGTGGAAATTGGAGTATTGGACGGTCATTTAATAGTAGTAAAAAGATATAAAGGAAAAAAAAAAAGTGGCCTTTAAACAGCACTAGGAAAAGTAAACTCCTAAAATAAAATTATTTTATTATTGAAAAAAAAAATTAACTCCATTAATTAACTTGTAAGGGCATTTCAATTGTTAATGATAGAGGTAAAAGAAATAAAGGTGTGGAATGACATCTAAAAGCTTTAAACTACTTGCATTCTTCCAAATTTGTCTTGACATCTAAAAGATTGGGTATGAAAAGACATGAACAAATCGTTCATGACAAGT